TTGCTCTTCTGCAACTTAGTATTGGTGATTTCTGATGGGAAATTTTAAATGTTGGGAACGAGTGAGAGGGGAGATAGAGAGGGGAGGAAGCGGGAGATTGGGAGTGGAAGAAAGAGAGGGAGTACGAGAGAGAGAGAGAGAGAGAGGAAGAGAGGAGGAGAGAGAGGAGAGGAGAGAGAGAGAGAGAGAGAGAGAGAGAGAGAGAGGAGGAAAGAAAGAACGAAAGAAGCGAGAGGAGACGGGAATTAAGAGAGAGAGAGGGAGAGGAAGGAAAGATAAGGCGGGAAGGAACAAATAAAGGAGAGAGGAAAGGAAGATAATAAAGATAGAGAGAGGGGAGAGAGAGGAGCTGGGGATGTAAGATGGAGGGGGACGGGGGGAGGGAGTTGTAAATATGGGTGAAATACAAGAGGAGAAATCATTTAGCTTTCTTTCTTTGTCTGAAAATTTTGGCCAAAATCGTTTTCGGATTTTCTGGTTCGATAAATAATAAATTAAAGAGATAATGGCTACATTCACACGAAAACCACTAATTTATATGTTGTATGTATAAAATGTATATGTTTTGTAAGTATTATGCCATGTATGCTATATAACAATAATAAAGGTGTAAAAAAGAATATCATGATCCTTCCGCAGATACGAAGTAATAAAAGGATGCGGGAAAAACAGGTAAGAAAAACAAAAAGAGAGAAAGAGAACAAAAAATTACAGAAAAAGGCCTGGACGTGACTTGTACCGAGCTGGTATCTAACGCGTAGATCCTCGTGTAACTCCTAACAGCATAGCATGCAAGGTTACTGTGTATGGACATGCACATTGCAGCCTCCGAGCATATAGAAAATAGTGTGTTGCGGGACTGTAATTCATAGGCTTCATTAGAGAGGCGTAATGGGGCTTCTACACGTATACTCTATGTGGACGTCATGGTCATTAAGGTGATGTAAGGCCTTGGGCAGGTAGGGGCTTTTGTGACGTATTTGTTTTGTTTGCAGTCAGTCATCCGGTTTGTGTTGGAGGTAGGGTTTTGGTGACGTCATCTGGTTTTGTGCAGGGTAGGGGCTTTTGATGACGTCATCGGTTTTGTGTTGGAGGTAGGGGCTTTTGTGCTCATGCTGGTTTTGTGTTGGAGAGTAGGTTTGGTGTCATCTGGTTGTGTTGCAGGTGGGGCTTTTGTGACGTCATCGTTTGTGTTGGGAGGTAGAGGGCTTGGTGAGTCTCGGTTTTGTGTTGGGAGTAGGGGCTTTTGGTGACGTATGCCGGTTTTGTGTTGAGGTAGGGGCTTTTTGGTGGTATCCGGTTTTGTGTTGGCAGGTAGGAGGCGGATTTTGGTGTGCGCAATCCATCTGCGTTTGTGTTGGCAGGTAGGGGCTTTTGTGACGTCATCAACGGTTTTTGTTGGCAGGTAGGGGCTTTTTGGTGACGTATCGGTTTTGTGTTGGCCGGCTTTGACGCAGGTAGGGGCTTTTGGTGACGTATCTGGTTTTGTTGGCAGGTAGGGGCTTTTTGTATGAGTCATCTGGTTGTGGGTTGGCAGGCAGGGGCTTTTGGTGACGTCATACTGGTTTTGCCGTGGCCGAGGTTAGGTTTGGTGAAGTCATCTGGTTTGTGTGAGGTAGCGAGGCTTTTGGGGTGATCATACCTGGTTTGTGTTGGCAGGTAGCGGGCTTTTGGTGAGGTCATCTGGTTTTGTGTTGGCAGGTAGGGGTTTTGGTGAGTCATTGGTTTGCGATTGGCGAGGTAGGGCTTTTGGTGAGGATCATCATGGTTTGGGTTGGAGGGGTAGGGGCTATTGGGTGACGTCAACTGACTTTGCGTTGGCTAGGTAGGGGTTTTGTGACTCATGCCCTGGCTTTGTGTGGCTAGGTAGGGGCTTTTTGGTGACGTCATACTGTGCTTGTGTTGGCGTTAGGGGCAGGGTTTGGTGGGGATGTTATCCGGTTGTTGTGTTGGCAGATAGGGGGCTTCTTAAGGTGAAGTCATCTGGATTGTGTTGGCAGGATTAGGGCATTATTGGTGAGTCAAATAGAACTTATAGGCGTTGGCGAGTAGGCGGGTGCCTGTGTTTCTTGGTGGAGTCATATGGCATATTTGGGCGTTGCGCAGGTAGGCCTTTTGGTGACGTCATATGGACTTGTGTGGTAGGCAGGCGGGCTTTTTGGGCTGAGTCATAATGGCTTTAGCGCTGGCAGCGTAGCGGGCTTTGGCGCATCGTCATCTGGCTCTTTGGTTGGCAGGTTATGGGCTTTTGGGACGTCATTGACTTTAGGTTGGCAGGTAGGGCCTCTTTGCCGCGACGGCATCTGGTTTTTGTGTTGGCAGAGGGCTTTTTGGTGACGGATCTGGCTTTGTGTTGGAGGTAGGGGCTTTATGGGTGAGGCATCATGGCTTTGTGTGGCAGGTTAGGGCGCTCTTGTGAGGCATTCTGGCTTGCTTGCCTGGCTTGTAGTCTTTGGCGCTTTTTTGCGTGTTACGGCAATTGCTTTGTGTTGGGCAGGTTATGTTTTGGTTTTGTGGGGACGGGCATGGTGACTGGGCTTGTGCGGCTGGGAAGACTAGCGGCTAATTCATTTTGTACAGGATTTTAGGCTGTTGTGTTGACGATTTAGGGTGTGCTTTTGGTGACGTCATCATATTCCCCCTGTTCGACCTTCTCCTGCCCGCTCTTGGCAAGGTGAGCCGCTGTGTCCTGGCTTCTATTGGCGAAGTTCATAATGGTTTTAATAAGTGTTGAAGCAGGGTAGGGTATTTGGTGACTGACTTGGGCTTGTGTTGGAGCAGGTAAGGGGATTTTGGTAAACAGAGGAATCTGGCTTTTGTGTTGGCAGGATAGGCCGGCTTTTTTGGTGACGGCAATTCTGGCTTGTGTTGGCAGTGGGGCTTTTGGATGAGACTGATGTTTGGTGTTGCAGGTAGTGTGGCTATTGGTGAGCGTCTGGCTTGTGTTGCTGGCGGACTTAGGGCGTATTTGATGCGTCATCGGTTTGTGTTGAGGAGGGCTTTTGGTGACGTGATCCCGGTTTTCGTGTCTGGCAGGTAGGCGGCTTTTGGCTGAGTCAATACTGCTTTGTGTTGGCAGGTAGGAGGCTTTTGGTAGACGGATTGGCTGCTTGTGCTGGCAGGTAGGTACACGGTTTTGTGACGTCATGACCCGGTTTGTCGATGTTGGAGGGAGTAGTGGTTTTGGGACAGTCATCTTGTTTTGACGTTGGCAGGTAGGTGGCTTTTGGTGATGACGTCATTTCTGCTTTGTGTTGGCAGGCTAAGGTTTTTTGGTGACTGGTCATACTGGCTTGTGTAATGGCAGGTATGGGAGAAGGCGGCTTTTGGTGACGTCATACCGTTTTGGTGTTGGCAGTTAGGGGCTTTTGGTGAAGTCATCTGGCTTGTTGGCAGGTAAGGGCTTTTGGCGACGTCATCTGGTTTGTGTTGGCAGGTAGGGGCTTTTGGTGACGGCATCTGGCTTTGTGTTGGCAGGTAGGGGCTTTTGGTGACGTCATCTGGCTTTGTGTTGGCAGGTAGGGGCTTTTGGTGACGGCATCTGGCTTTGTGCTGGCAGGTAGGGGCTTTTTGGTGACGGCATCTGGCTTTGTGTTGGCAGGTGGGGCTTTGGTGACGGCATCTTGGCTTTGTGCTGGCAGGTAGGGCTTTTGGTGACGGCATCTGGCTTTGTGTTGGCAGTTAGGGGCTTTTGGTGACGTCATCTGACTTTGGTTGGCAGGGGGCTTTGGGACGGCATCTGGCTTTGTGTTGGCAGGTAGGGCTTTTGGTGACGGCATCTGGCTTTGTGTTGGCAGGTAGGGGCTTTTGGTGACGGCTTTGTGTTGGCAGGTAGGGGCTTTTGGTGACGTATCTGGCTTTGTGTTTGGCAGGTAGGGGTTTTTGGTGACGTCATCTGGCTTTGTGTGGCAGGTAGGGGCTTTTGGTGACGTCATCTGGCTTTGTGTTGGCAGGTAGGGGCTTTTGGTGACGTCATCTGGCTTTGTGTTGGCAGGTAGGGGCTTTTGGTGGGGTGTTAGGCTTTTGGTGACGTCATCTGGCTTTGTGTTGGCAGGTAGGGGCTTTTGTGACATCTGGCTTTGTGTTGGCAGGTAGGGGCTTTTTGGCGGGCTCGTGGTTTTGTAGGGCTTTTGGTGACATCTGGTGCTGGCAGGTAGGGGCTTTTGTGACGTCATCTGACTTTGTGTTGATATGGAGTGTTTGACCCCCCCCCCCTCCCCTTGGTTTTATAAGTACCAAGAGAGAGTGATTAATAAAAGGTAAGATTCTTGCCGATTTCTAGTAAGAGACAACTGTCCCGGGAGAATTAACAACAACATTAAAAAAGATAATTAAGAAAATATAAATGTCAATTTCTACAAAGATTAGTCATCACCATTCATCACAAAATTCTCAATAAGGTCCCACCGCCTTCAACTTTTCCTCAGCTTCTCATCGAGCTCGATTGTAGGGCCATCAAGTGTATCCACGCCCCTTGGACACGCCCCCTTCTTGGCCCTAGCCGCTGAGGGCATCGCGGTCGAGCTCATCAACTCAAAATCTCCTAGAAGCACACAAGGCAATTTTTTTTTCTTTTCTTTCTAATTAAACGCTTTGTTCCCGAACCGAGGGGAAAACACGGATAATGTTCATGTTTTACCTCCGTTATCAATGGCTCGCCAGTGGGCAACACTGTGATGAAGCCAGGTGTGAGAAAAAGACGCGTGTTTGTATGTGTCTTCAACGGGTGTTTTGTGTGTGTTTTCAGCGGGTGTTTGTGTGTCTTCAGCGGGTGTTTGTGTGTGTCTTCAACGGGTGTTTGTGTGTGTCTTCAACGGGTGTTTGTATGTGTTTTCAACGGGTGTTTGTGTGTGTCTTCAACGGGTTTTTGTGTGTGTCTTTAACGGGTGTTTGTGTCTTTTCACGGGTGTTTGTGTGTGTCTTCAACGGGTGTTTGTGTGTGTTTCAAGGGTGTTTGTAAGTGTATGTGTCTGTACTGTTTGTAGTTACATGCGCATGAACAAAAGTATGAATGTGGTGACTTTTCCTTTTGAAAAAAATGACCATGAAGATTGGAAAACTAATCTCTAGGAAAACCATATTCAATAACTAAAAATTATAGGACAGAATTTTCTATAAAAAAATGGAATACAATAAACAGGCCATAAGGCTGGATCATTTTATAGGAAAGAAAAAAGAAGAAGCAGTAGAACGAGAAAGAAATATACACCAAATAAAAACACCAAGACCTCCTTACGCGTACACACGCACACACTCACACACACACACACACACGAGAGACATGCCCGGCCCCAAAAGAAAACGAAAAGGTTAAATGCCCAACAAAAACTGCAGTCACGGAAGGCTAAAATATGAGGGCATTCTGAAGCCACTTTGCGGTGTACCTCCCCTTGCCCCTCCTACCCCCGCCCACAACCACCACCTTACCCCTCCTCCCCCTCGCCCACACCATTTACCCTCCCTCCCCCCCGCCACACCACCCTCCCCACAACACCACCTACCACCTAGCCCTCCCTCCCTACCCCATCCCTCCCCTCGCCACACCACCACCTCCTTGCCCCTCCCCCTCTCCTCCCTTCCCCCACTCATCCCTTCTGCCGAAACCCTTCTTTACCTGCAATAGCCTCCGTTCCTCACTGGCGTTCGGGTGTTTAGCTCTTTGATCAGGGCGGCGGGGGCGTGTTATTCGCCTTCGGCTTTTGAGCACTTTGCATCAGTATAAGTATTGGAGGATATTATATATGTATATATGTATATATGTATATATATATATATATATATATATATATATATATATATATATATATATATATATATGTATGTTATGTGTAAAATATATATACATACATATACAAGGAAACGGACATCTAATACATATAAATTTATATATCTGTATATTTTATTTTATTTCATGCACACAAACGCACACGTGTTTGTGTGTGTGTGTGTGTGTGTGTGTGTGTGTGTGTGTGTGTGTGTGTGTGTGTGTGTGTGTGTGTGTGTGTGGTGTGTGTGTGTGTGTGTGTGTGTGTGTGCGCGTATATAATATATATATATATATATTATATATATATATATATATATATATATATATATATATATATATATATATATATATATATATAGAGTCATGAGTAACATATCACTCAGTTAAGTAAAATCACACTCAAAGTGGATCCACACAAATTCCTTTTTCTCAGCCACTTCCCATTTCTCAAAGACTCCCCGTCGAGTTCAGACCGTGGCTGCCTGTCCCCCCAAGCCGCGCCCGCCGTTCCACGGCGTACAGAAGGCCCAGCACACCGCAAGCATCATTCGCAAGTGGCACTCAGAAAAAATGTAACTCGCCATCTTTTCCTGCGCCTCCGGTATCTGGCTAATTCTTACTCCTTAATGGATCCCAACGGCGTCGTCAGACCGCTATCTCAGCCCTGCAGCAGAGACGCCCTTCCTGCCGGCCCGCCTGCTCGGGGTGTCGGCGCGCGCGCTCTCCCTGCCGTCTTACCTGGCTCCTGTCTGTCTGTCTTTCTGGATATCTGTCTAGTTTTTCTAATCAAAATGCCCTATATCTACCTTTTATTATTATTTTTAAATTCTTGATTTAATTCTTTTTTTGTGTGTTTTTTTATTATCCACACCACACCACAACACACACAACACACACACACACACACACACACACACACACACACACACACACAACACACACACACGCACACACACGCACATGCACACGCACACACTACACATCTACGAGTATATATATATATATGTAGAGACCGATATTGATTCGACATTTGAAAGATTTATTGGTTATAATTGTAAAGACGTCTGGACCACGTAGTATTGTCAACCACAACGAAACGTTTATTTACGTAGTTTTAATTTGTAGGCATCTTAATCTAGCAGAATTTAGTGTTATAACTAATAGAGTAAATCATGTTCATTATCTATAAATGGTTGGTTTGTTTAGATATCGAAAATTCAATTGAGGGAAAGGAATGCAGCTTTGTTTTCTGCCTTTGTTCTCCTTCCCGAACGCAGAGAGGAGGAAAGTTTGGGGAAAAGAGGTGACGCCCATGTCATGACGCAGCATTGATGAGGGAAATATCTATTCATTTTTTTTTTTTTTTTTATTATCTATTCTTTTTTTTGGGGGGGGGGGGGCGTGGATACAGCAACGTAGTTAGTCGAAGGAGAAAATTCGGATCGCAGTAAGGAACAAAACTAGGAGAGGGACTATCAAAGTAAACTGTAAGAAAGGAAAATCGTGAAACTTAGACGAATATGTGATGGTAAATACCAGAAAATAATTATGGATATCTACTTGGTGATATGCAACATCTTTATTATTAATTGTTTATAGAATAGAAAGTAATTGTTTCTATGACACTTAACTGAGGAATGAGTCCAATCCATCTCACGATCCTTATAAAGATGTTAACTCTACTCATGTTAAGATTAGATAAGTCGAAATTGGATTTTCTCAGGGTTTCCTTCAAATCCAACATCCTGGGTGGTGGCGGCATTACTGATATGATAAGAGTTGATAAAGTTTCATCAAGGTCATGTAGAATATAAATTTTGAAAGGATTGTGTACTCTATTTTATTTTTAAAATTTCCCAGACATATTGGCAACAGTACTGTGATTTATTTGAACACTGTAATTTGTACAGGAAAAAGTCTGGCCCAACATTGCCTATTTTACAATTCACTGTAATTCCTCTATTTGTACAATAAATTATTAGCTTCTCTATTTCTACAATAAATTTTCAGTTTATTTCTACAATAGATGATCAGTTCATCTATATCTACAATAAGGTATCTATTCCCCTTTACCTACAATAGATTATCAGTTCACATTAAAACTGTAATGCCAAAGGTAAATTCGCACCAGCAAAACTCTATTCACAACAGTGTACAAAACAAATGACGAAGAAAAAGTGAAAAGAAAACCGGAGAAGAAAGAAAGATAAAATAATGAGGGTCTTGCCAGAAATAGCCCCTTGGGAGGAGGGAAAGCAAAGGGGTCGAGTGTGTATGCGCAGAAGAAGAGAATTAGACGAAGCTACAAAGGGAGAAGGAGCAAAAAGAAAATGGCAGAAGCAGAAACACAGATAATAACGAAAGAGGAGGAGGGGAGGGGAGAATAACTCGTATTATCCAAAGAAGATAACGGCGGTTTCTGAGTGATTCACGTGAGGTGGGCTAATCAGAAGGTTCATGTGCGCTACACACATGTACACCTAAATCGAAAATGAAGAGGAGAGAGAAAGAGAGAAAGAGAGAGAGAGAGAGAGAGAGAGAAAGAAAAGAGAGAAAGAAAGAAGAAAGAAAGAAAGAAAGAAAGAAGAGGGAGAGAAGAGAGAGAGGAGAGAGAAAGAGAGAGAAGAGAGGAGAGAGAGAGAGAGAGAGAGAGAGAGAGAGAGAGAGAGAGAGAGAGAGAGATGGGAGAGGAGAGAGAATGAGAGAAGAGACGAGAGAGAGAGAGATTAAAGCGAGAGTAAACAAGAGAAAGACAAGAGAATGAGGAGAGAGAGAGAGAGAGAGAGAGAGAGAGAGAGAGAGACGGGGGTGGGGGGTGGAGAGACAGAAAGAGGAGGGTAGATATACAACAAAAAGACATACAGACCGAGAGAGAAGAGATAGGTGGAGAGAATTATATAGAAAAAATAGAGAGATAGATAGAAAAGATAACTAAATAGATAAACAGACACGAGAAGAAAGAGATAGGGAACGATTGATGAATAGTAGACACACAGATATAGGGTAGATAGATAAATAGATAGATAAATACAAAGATACAGAGAGAGAGAGACGCAATGACACACACACATATATTCAACAATGCTGATCTGAATTTTAATGCAGAATAAATTCTCAGAAGAAATGCACTAGTTTATGTAGTGTCATGGAAATGTAACATCTATATACCATCACAGTAATACAACATGCGTGTAGTGTACAGCATTACAAAAACATAATATGCATGTACAGTTTCATAAAAATTAGCATGCATGTATATGTATACATAGCGTTTTTTTTTTTTTTCTTTTTTGAAGTCTTTAATTTCTGGGACCAAAGATTTTAGAATTTCTTTTAAGGCTTCACAGCACAGATTTTTTCTCCCTCATTCTTTTAAATGTAAGAAACATATGAAGAAAAAAAAGGGAA